TGAGTCTGGGGGGTGCAGGGGGCTGTGGGGCTGATCATGGAGCCTGAGGGGTGCAGAGGTCTGTGGGGCTGAGTGTGGCAAGTATAGGGGGTTGCAGGGCTGAGCATGGAACTGGGGGGTGCAGGAGACTGTGGGGCTTGACCCCAAGGGATGGGTAGCAATGCTGGGGTGTCACTGCGGTTCGGTGGGTTTGAGGACACAGAGCTGAGCAGGGAATCCTGGGAGCACATGTGGGGCTGGGGTTGTCACTGCAGGGGAACCAGGGGTTGCGGAGGGTACAGGGGCCTGCGAGGTACCAGGCTTTGGGGACGTGTGGGTCTCGGGGTTAGGGGGTGCCAGGGGACCCCGTGCTCACCCAGCAGCTCTCCCCGCAGAAGAAGAGCCGTGAGGAGTCGAGCGGCGAGGGCAGCGGGGTGGAGATCCTGGCCAACCGGCCCTACAGTGACGGCCCCGGCGGCAGCGGCCAGTACACCCACAAGATCTACCATGTGGGCTCCCACATCCCCAGCTGGTTCCGAGCGCTGCTCCCCAAGGCTGCCCTGCAGGTGGAGGAGGAATCCTGGAACGCCTACCCCTACACCCGCACCAGGTGGGGGAGTCGGTGGGGATGTGGGGTGGGCTGTGGGGCCGGCCGTGCCGCCGGGCTCATCCCACGCGTCCCCCAGGTACACCTGCCCCTTCGTGGAGAAGTTCTCCATCGAGATCGAGACGTACTACCGGCCGGACGGGGGGCAGCAGACCAACATCTTCAACCTGAGCGCAGCTGAGAAGAGGCAGAGGATTTTGGGTGCGTGCAGCCGCCGCGGGGTTGGCTGGGGGTTACGAGCAGGACCCGATACCTGCCGGGGTTCCCATGCTGGGTGTGTGGGTGTGCTGTGGTGCCTGAGGGGCTCAGCGTCTGCAACGCGCTCAGCTTTGCTCTCTTTGCTGTTTTGGGGACAGCTAAGGGGTGGAAACTTGGCAGGGGAAGGTGCCTGTACCCCGAGGTGCCTGCCCTGAGCTCCCTGCCCGCTCCCTTGGCAGCGCTGCTAAATTAGAGTCTGTATCAAAGATGTTTTGGGGGACAATTTCATCCTTCACCTTCTTCCCTTGCCTGTATATTTGTCTGCAGCCCTCTCCTTCCTGGTGCCAGTCTCCTCCCCTGTCCGTGTCCCTGTCCCGTGTCCCAGCCCCTGTCCCACACGGTCTGGCATGACTTTGTCTTCCCGGCCCCTCTCTGGGCTGTACATGGGAACCCGTGCTGGGTGTTTTGGATCAGCGTGTCCCCATTTTTATCCCTCTCTGTCCTGCTTCCCCTTCTCCCTGGGGCTTTGCTCCAATTTGCTCTCCGGATCCAGGCGGGAGAGCTCTGTGGGGGGATCGTTGGGCAGAGCCAGGAGCCCGGGGTGGGATTCCCCCCTCGCCGGCGGGTTTGTCCCCGGCCGCCGTGGCCTCCCTTTCCCGACGATGTTGATCCGGTCGTTTTAGGCACCGGAGTGCAGAGCGTGACGCGCTGCCTCTTAAAATGGAGGCCTAAAATAGGCACTCGGAGGAAATGATTCATCTGACCTATTTCTCTCATTGGTTCTTGCGGCACCGGGGATGTCCGGCCGGGATGCCGGTGCCTTGGGCCCGGGGGGACAAATTTTGGCCCTGCCACCACCGGGCAGTGACCGGGGCCGAGCGGACAGCAGGGAGGGCATGGCCCTGTGCCTGCTGCTTGCTGCCCTGCCCGATTTCCACCCCTCGGTGCCCGTCCCATGGGCTTTCCACAGGACACGCTGCATCTCGGGTGGCTGCTGCCTCCCACGGGGAGCGGGGCTGGGTTGGGACTGGCCCCCATGTGGATTCCCATCCCGATGCTGGGATTTTCTTTGCCAGCTCTCACTCTCACCCCGGTGTCCTGTGTCACCCACAAGATTTAAACCCAATCTCACGTTTCAAAGGGCAGGGGAGTAATGTGGCCTGTCGGCCGGGGTGACCCGCGGGGATAACAATCTCTTGGCCAATTTTCTCCCGGTTATAAAAGCAAAGAGAGCTGTCAGTCCTCGTGCGAGTCACGCTGCCGGGAGCTGCTCGGGGCTCCTCGCTGCCGCCTGCGGTGCGTTGCCATCCGAGCTGCTCAGCCAGCCCCTCGGTTCCTCATTTCAGGGCTCGTGTTCCCCACACGGTTTGGACACCCCCTGGTGTGTTTTGCAGGCGGGGGAGGCTTGGAGGGGTTGTGGCACTTAAAGTTTGAGCTCCCCACCACGGGCAAAGCCCCACTTCAGAGCACCTGCCCTGCAATTGTCTCTTGTTTTCTGGGTCTTAAAAGTCTTTTTTTTTTTTTTTTTTTTTTTCTCCCTTTTTTTTTGGCCCAAGCTGGAGGAAGAGGCCAGTGGGCACCTTGGGCACATCAATGGGGGCAAATGAGCATGAGGTGTGGCACAGCCTGGGGACAGGCTGGGGGGGATTGAGTGGGGACAGCTCTGTAGGAAGGTCCTGGGAGCCAGTGGGGTGCCCTGGGACCCCCCAAAGACCCCCCACCACCCAAGACCGGGCTGGAGGGAGCTGGCCTGGAGCAGCCAAACTGCAGGAGACTTTGTGTAGGGTTGGATCGTGTTTTTCCTGGGCGCCATCCATACGCCCCCCTCCACTTTTGGGGTGGCCACCCCCGTTTGGGGAGAGGGGGACATTGCCATCGTACCCCCCAGCTTGATGGGGGCTCCTCCTGGGTCGTGTGGTGGTTTTGCTGCGCTCCCTGCCCCGTTATCGGGGTCCCCTGGGGTCTGGGAGGGGGGGCAGGTGGTGAGGCTCACCGTTGCTCCGAGCTGCTCCATCCGGCTGTCCTCGGCACCAGCCCCCACGGCCCCCGGGGTCGCCGGGGCCACTCTCCCAGCTGCCAAATCTCCTGGCTAATGCGCCTATGTGTGTCAGCCCCGGCTCTTCGCACGCCTCGCTGCCTCCGCGTGTCCCCCCCCTTACCCTGGCCATCCCCCCCACCCCCAGTGCCTCTTTCAGCCACGCTGCGCCACTCCGTGGGGCACAGGATCCGTCCCCCGTGCAGGGATCACAGAATCACAGAATCTTCTAGGTTGGAAGGGACCTTAAAGATCATCTTGTCCAACCGTCAACCTGACTGACAAAAATAGACACCCACACAACAAACAAGGAGCATCATCACTAAACCAGACCTCCCAGCACTACATCAACCCGTCTTTTGAACACCTCCAGGGATGGGGCCTCAACCCCCTCCCTGGGCAGCCCATTCCAATGCCTGATAACTCTTTTAGTGAAAAAATTTTTCCTAATATCCAGCCTGAACCTCCCCTGGCGCAACTTGAGGCCATTTCCTCTCGTCCTGTCGCCTGTGACTTGAGAAAAGAGACCGACCCCCACCTCTCTACACCCTCCTTTCAGGGAGTTGGAGAGAGCAATAAGGTCTCCCCTCAGCCTCCTCTTCTCCAGGCTGAACACCCCCAGTTCCCTCGGCCTCTCCTCATAAGACTTATTCTCCAGACCCCTCACCATCTTTGTCGCCCTTCTCTGGGGTGCACCCATGGGTGCCTTTGATGTTACAAACACAGGATGGAAAGGGTTTGATACCAGCTGTTGGGTGGGTGCGTGGCTCGTGGAAATAATTTGCCCCTCTGATTTTTGGGTGTTTTTTTTCCCCGTTTTCCTCCTCAAGGGGTCTCCCGCGTCCCCTTGCTGAGCACCACGGGGTGACGCGCACTCTTCTCCCCACAGACACCATCGACATTGTGCGTGACCCCATCTCCCCCAGCGAATACAAGCCCGAGGAGGACCCCAAGCTCTACCACTCAGCCAAGACAGGACGGGGACCACTGGGGGACGACTGGCTGGAGACGGCTGCCAGCGGGCCCCTGATGTGTGCCTACAAGCTCTGCAAGGTGGAGTTCCGCTACTGGGGGATGCAATCCAAAATTGAGCAGTTTATCCACGACGTGGGTGAGTGCTGGGGCAGCAGTGGGCAGCCCTCGACCGTCGGCACTGCTGGAGGTGGGGGGAGCAGGTTTGGGGACCCCCAGGTCCCCCCATGCCGGGCGATGTCCCCTGTCACAGGTTTGCGGAAGGTGATGCTGCGCGCCCACCGCCAGGCTTGGTGCTGGCAGGACGAGTGGACGGACCTGACGATGGAGGACATCCGGCAGCTGGAGGAGGAGACGGCGAGGATGCTGGCGCAGAAGATGGCCAAGTGCGGTGAGGCCGAAGAACCCCCTGCCACTGGGCCCAGCCCCGAGGGGCGGCCGGAGCCAGGGGGTGCCAGCAGGCAGGAGGGGGCTGAGGTGCAGGAAGCATCTGATGCCTCTCCTGACGATACCTTTGCCAAGCAGTGGTCCACCTCTTCCCGGTCTTCCTACTCTTCTCAGCATGGAGGTGAGTGACCAGGTCCTGTGTGGGTGGGATGGGGACCCCCGACCCCCAACCCCCTGGCAACCTCCTCTTATCCATAGGAGATGCATCAGGGGATCCTCTTTTCCCTGGCCTGGGTGCCCCAGGGGTCTCCTAGGGGTGGTCTCTGGGTGCCCCAAAGGTGGTCCTGGGTCTCCCAGGGGAGCTCTGGATGCAGGAGCAGGGGGCAGCTGTGGGACAGGAGTTGGAGTCTCACTGCAGGGGGGCTCTGGGCACTGACCCTGTGCCCGTGGCAGGGGGGGTGTCTCCTCAGAGCCTGTCCGAGTGGCGGATGCAGAACATCGCCCGCGACTCCGAGAACAGCTCCGAAGAGGAATTTTTTGATGCCCACGGTATGACGGGGGGCAGCACCCGTGGCTCAGTGTTTCGGTGGCAGGGGCCAGTCACTGGCTCGGGGTGGGCTTGGATGTGCCTCGTGGTGGGGGGGTCCTCGTGGGCTCCTCACCCACAGCCCCCTCCCTGCTGCCGCAGAGGACCTGTCTGACAGCGACGAGGTCTTTGCGAAGGAGATGACAAAGTGGAGCTCCAATGACTTCTTGGACACGCTGGAGCGGCCCGCGGAGCTGGATGAGGCACTGGGTGAGTGTAGGGGGGGTCCCTGGCCCCTAACCCCGGCGTGGACGTCTTGGGAGGGGGCTGACCCCCATCTGGATGCCCCGTCCGAACCGGGGCCGTGTGCTTGCAGGGGAGGAACCCAGCACCTCCAAGGTGGATTGTGAAGCACTGGGGGCAACCGGCTGCTCCGAGGTGGGTGCCCTGCTTGTCCCTTCCCTCCGGCCATGCCCCCCGGGCTGTTGTCCCTAGCGTGGGTGCCGATGGCAGCTCTCTCCTTCCTGCAGAGTGTCTCGTCGGAGAGCACGGCGCAGGCGTGCCGGATCCACGCCCTCTTCCTCATCCTCCACAGTGGCAACATCCTGGACCAGGGAGCGGGCGAGCCGGGCTCCAAGCAGGCAGATGTGCAGACGCTGGCAGCCACCTTCGACGCCGTCACCCGTGTCCACTTCCCCGAGGCGCTGGGACACGTGGCGCTGCGCCTGGTGCCCTGCCCGCCCATCTGCGCCGCTGCCTACGCCCTCGTCTCCAAGTATGATGGCGTGTACTTGTTCTGGGGCTGTTCCGGGGCTCTCCATGGGGCAAGGAGGGGGCTGTCCTCCTGGAAAACCACCCCAGGGCTGCGGGAGGGGACTGTGGAGGTGGTGGCCTCAGAGAGGGCTTTGCTTCTCCTGGTGTAGCATCTAGGGGATGGGATGGGATGGAAAGGGGATAACTCCTGGTGCAGCGTTGCAGGGTAAGCAAGTGTCACGCGGTGGGATGGGGACACCAGGGCAGCCCCCTTCACCCTTCTCACTGTGTTCTTCTCAGGCTCAGTCCCTACAGCCACGACAGGGACAGCCTGTCCAGCAGCCAGGACCACATCCCGCTGGCGGCCCTCCCGCTGCTGGCCACCTCCTCGGGGAGCTACCAGCACGCCGTGGGCGCCGTCATCGCTCGTGCCAACCAGGCCTACAACGCCTTCCTGCACTCTGGGGAGGGGGCAGGCTTCTGCGGCCAGGTGAGAGAGGGGATCTGGGGAAAGATCTGCTCTGCCTGGGGCTTGGATCCGCCAGGAAAAACGTTCCCCCTGTGCGGAGGGTTTGGGGGCTCTGTCTGGAGTCTGGAGCACAAGTCTTACGCGGAGAGGCTGAGGGAACTGGGGGTGTTCAGTCTGGGGAAGAGGAGACTGAGGGGAGACCTTATCGCTCTGTACAAGTACCTGAAAGGAGGCTGTAGAGAGACGGGGGTCGGTCTCTTCTTCCAAGTTACAGATGATAGGACAAGGGGTAATGGCTTCAAGTTGCGCCAGGGGAAGTTCAGGTTGGATATTAGGAAACATTTCTTTACTGAAAGGGTTATCCAGCACTGGAACAGCCTGCCCAGGGAGGTGGTGGAGTCCCCATCCCTGGAGGTATTTAAGAAACGTGTAGACATGGTTCTTCAGGGCATGCTCTAGTGCCCAAGATTACTGGTTTGTGGTGGGGTGCTGTGTGGGGCGGTGATGGTTTTTTGGTTTGGTGGTTGTTGGTGTGTGTTTAGGTGGTGGGTGGTGGTTTGTGTTTTTTGTGTGTGTTTTTTTTTTGTTTTTTTTTTTTGTGTTGGTTGGACTCGATGATCTCTGAGGTCCCTTCCAACCACTACGATTCTGTGATTCTGTCCTTCCTCGCCCTCACCACGGGTGCGTGCTCTCTGCAGGTGGTGCTGCTGGGGGACTGCGTGGGTGGCATCCTGGGCTTCGACGCGCTGTGCCAAAGCCGGGGGGGCTCGGGGGGCAGCCGCAGCAGTAGCCGCCGGGGCAGCCTGGTGAGTAGTACTGGTTGGAGAGGGTGGAAAAGGGGTACAGGAGGGGTGGGGGTGCCAGTGGTGGCTAAAGAGGGGCTGGGCACTCGCTGCCTTTCCCCCCGCAGAGCACGGAGCCCATCTCCCCCGAGCTGTGCGGCGGCAGGGACCCGTTGGCCGATGGCACGGACGGAGCAACGGCGTCTGGCCAGGCCAGCCCCGAGCCGGGGACACAGCCACCCTGCCGGGAGCAGGAGGACAGCCACCACCACAGCTCCTCGTGCAGGTGAGAACAAGGCGGAGGGTCGGCAGTGCCGTGATGATCTCGATAAGGACATAGGGTGTATCATCAGCAAGTTTGCAGATGATACCAAGCTAAGCAGGAGTGTTGACTCCCAGGAGGATAGGGAAGCCCTACAGAGGGACCTAGATAGATTGGATCACTGGGCCAAGATCAACGGCATGAGTTTCAACAAGGGCAAGTGCCAGGTCCTGCACTTGGGCCACAACAACCCCCTGCAGCGCTACAGGCTGGGGGAAGTGTGGCTGGAGCTGCCTGGAGGAAAGAGACCTGGGGGTTCGAGTTCCCAAAGGGCTGAATATGAGCCGGCCGTGTGCCCAGGGGGGCAAGAAAGCCAATGGCATCCTGGCTTGTATCAAAAATAGTGTGAGCAGCAGAAGTAGGGAGGTGATTGTGCCCCTGTACTCAGCACTGGGGAGGCCACACCTCGAGTGTTGTGTCCAGTTTTGGGCACCTCAATCCAAGAGAGATCTCGAGGTGCTGGAGCGAGTGCAGAGGAGGGCAACGAAACTGGTGAGGGGGCTGGAAAACAAATCGTATGAAGAGCGGCTGAAGGAGCTGGGGCTGTTTAGTGTGAGGAAGAGGAGGCTGAGGGGAGACCTCATCACTCTCTACAACTTCGTGAAAGGACACTGTAGAGAGGTTGGTGCTGGTCTCTTCTCACAGGGAATTAGTGACAGAACGAGAGGGAACGGCTTCAAGCTCCAACAGGGGAGGTTTAGACTGAACATTAGGAAGGAATTTTTCACCGAGAGAGTGGTCGGGCATTGGAACAGGCTGCCCAGGGAGGGGGGGGAGTCCCCATCCCTGGCTGTGTTTAAGGGCCGTTTAGATGCAGTGCTGAGGGACATGGTGTAGGGGAGGACTTTGTAGAGTAGGGGAGATGGTTGGACTCGATGATCCCAAGGGTCTCTTCCAACCTCAATGATTCTATGATTCTATGACCCGTTCCTGCTGATCTCCCCACTAATTTTGTTGCTTTACGGAAAAGGCGAATTTCCCATCTGCACCAGCCTGGGAAGGAGCATTGCATGGGGGCCGCCCGCCTCAGGGGTGTCTTGCTGGAGCTCCCCAGCTTTCCAGCAGCTCCCCCGGGTTAACGGGGCCGTGCTGGGCACAGCTTTGCCCTTGGGCTGGTGGGAGCGGGGCGATACTGTCCCTCCCTGAGCCCACCGGCCCCGCTGTCCCAGCCTGCAGGCCAGCGAGGCCCCGCTGGAGGCAGAGGCAGCGCGGAGCGGCACGGCGGCGCTGGACGGGGCGGAGGGCACCGGTACCCGCCTCGAATTTAAGGTATCCGGCTTCTTCCTCTTTGGCTCCCCGCTGGGGCTGGTGCTCGCGCTGCGCAAGACCGTCATGCCCGCTCTGGATGGTGAGGACCCCCAACCCTCTCCCCAAAGAGCCCTGCTTGGGTTTGAGCCCCTTGCATGCCTTCCCCGGGTGTTGGTCTGTCCCCGAGTGTCCCCTTCCCCGCTCTGTGCCAGCCCCAGCTTGTCCCCCGGCCGTCTCCGGTGTCCTGGGTTTGCCTCCCCAGCCTTTCCTCTCACTGGGTTCTGCTTTCTCCCTGCTGGGTGCCAAGCTCCCGGCTTGTCCCCTGTCCCTGTCCCCACCGGGCTCCTTGCCACTCAGCCTGGGCAGCCCTGACCCCCTCTTTCTCTGCCCCAGTGGCCCAGCTGCGTCCTGCCTGTGAGCAGATCTACAACCTCTTCCACGCCGCCGACCCCTGTGCCTCTCGCCTGGAGCCCCTCTTAGCCAAGGCCTTCCACGCTGTCCCACCGCTCAGCGTGCCCCGCTACCAGAAGTACCCCCTGGGTGATGGCACCTCCTCCCTGCTGTGTGAGTGGCCCCCCACCCAACTGCTCCTGGGCACCCTGGGGTGCGCTGGGGGCTCCGGCATCATGTCGGGGTACCCAGAGCACCCAGAGCACTGCTGGGGTGTGGGGAAAGTGATGTGGGAGCCCTGCCCACCCCTTTGGGGCTGTGCTGGAGGGGGGGTCCCAGGGTGGTTGGTGTCCCCAGGGGGGTCTGGGTGGCCTCACTTGTCCCTCTCCGCAGCGGAGGCCCTGCAGACGCACTCTGCCTTGTTCCTGCCCGAGGTGGACATGGCTGCCCCCCCTACCCCCACTGGCAGCTTCGGGGGCTTCTGGAGGGGCAACGAGCCAGCGGAAGCCCCCACTCCTGCCAGCACCAGTGAAGTCGTCAAGAGTAAGTGCCATCCCATCCCATTCCATCCCATCCCATGCTGGTACCTTGGGATGAGGCCCCAGGACGGATTCATTCCTGCTCTCCCCACAGTCCTGGAGCGCTGGTGGGGCCCCAAACGCATCGACTACTCACTCTACTGCCCCGACGCCCTGACCGCCTTCCCCACCATCACCCTGCCCCACCTCTTCCACGCCAGCTACTGGGAGTCCTCCGACGTGGTGGCCTTCATCCTGCGCCAGGTAGGGCGGGCATGGCGGGGAGGGTGGCACAGCTCGCCGTGGGCTGGCGGAGGCTGAGCCGGGGCCGTGCTGCTCTTTAGGTGATGGAGAAAGAGGGGCCGCAGCCAGCGGAGAGCGAGGAGAGCTCTATCTACAGCCCTGCTATCCCCCGGGAGAAGTGGCAGCGCAAGCGCACCCAAGTGAAGATCCGGGTAGGTGCCCAGTGGCCATCGGGACCCCAACCCTTTGCCAGGGCTGCACCGGTCTCCCGCTGTCCCCGGGTGCCTGGGCAGACCCCCAGCTGTGGGGTGATCACAGAATCACAGAATCTTAGTGGTTGGAAGGGACCTCTGAGATCATCGAGTCCAACCACAAAAAACAAAACAAAACACCACAAAACCAAAAAAAACCCAACAACACACCACACCAAATGCCCACCAAAAACACCGCACCCACCAACTAAACCCCACACTCAACACCTCACCATAAACCAACAATCTCAGGCACTAGAGCATGCCCTGAAGAGCCATGTCTACACGTTTCTTAAATCCCTCCAGGGATGGTGACTCCACCACCTCCCTGGGCAGGCTGTTCCAGGGCCTGACCACTCTCTCAGTAAAGTAGTTCTTTCTAATATCTAATCTGAATCTCCCCTGCCCCAACTTCAGACCATTTCCTCTGGTCTTGTCGTTCGTCCTTTGGGAGAAGAGGCCAACACCTGCCTCTCTACACCCTCCTTTCAGGTAGTTGTAGAGGGCAATGAGGTCTCCCCTCAGCCTCCTCTTCTCCAAACTAAACATGCCTAGGAGGTGATGCAGCTGGGAGGGCTTGCTCCCGTCTGCCAGGAGGTTTCTGGGGTGGTCCCACAGCCCATGTGTCCCCTCGGGTGCCACCCGCTGCCCCAGCACAGGTTTCTGAGTGTCCCATGTCCCTGCAGAACGTGACAGCCAACCACCGGGCCTGCGACGTGATCGTGTGCGAGGGCAAAGCGCAGGTCCTCAGCGGGCGCTTCATGTACGGACCCCTGGACGTGGTGACACTGACCGGGGAGAAGGTACCTCTGGGCTCATGGGTACCACCAGGACCCCAGCAAACAGGGTGGGCATGTCCAGGAGGAGGCACGGGGCCAGTGTCATCCATGGCAGGGGAAGGGATGTGGTGAACGGGACCCCACAGGACCTTGTGGGATGGGAGGAGAGGATCATAAGGACTTGTAGTTTGGGGGACGTGGCAGGATCTGGAGGTTCAGTCCATGCTGAGCCCTTTTCCCTCTCCCAGGTGGACATCTACATCATGACGCAGCCGCTGTCGGGGAAGTGGCTGTACTATGGCACCGAGGTGACGAGTGGCAGCGGGCGCCTGACCTTCACCATCCCTCCGGAAAAGGCTCTGGCCATCGGCATCTACCCCGTGCGCATGGTGGTCAGGTGAGCTGTGGGTGTGAGGTGCCACCTCGGTTCCTCCTCCAGCCCTTTCGGCAGAGGGCCACCGGTCCCCTCCCTCAGAGAGCCAACACTGAGGCCTCCTTGTTCTCCCATCCCAGGGGGGACCACAGCTATGCCGAGGCGTACCTGACGGTGGTGGCCCGGGGCACCGAGTCGGTCGTGTTCAGCATCGATGGCTCCTTCACTGCCAGCGTCTCCATCATGGGCAGCGACCCCAAAGTGCGGGCGGGGGCTGTCGACGTCGTACGGTGGGTGCTCTTCTCGTGGTGGGGACACCCCGACCCTCCTTTCATGGTGTGGTGACAACCAGATGGGGGTAGCGGGGGCACTGAGCAGGTTGCCCTCATGGGGAGGAGCTGGGGGATCTGCCATCGCCCAGAGGGTTTTTGCAGCATCTCTCTGCTGGTGCAGAAAGGCTGCTCCCAGTTGTGGTCCTGAAGCCTGCTGTGATACCCTGCAGCTCTGCTGTTTCACCGAATTTTTTCACTGAATTTCACTGAATTTTAGAGTTGGAAGGGCCCATAGAGATCATCTAGTCCAACTCCCCTGCTGAAGCCGGACCAGCCAGAGCTTGTAAGAGCATGTTACTCAGAAGCATCCAGGCGGGTCTTGAAAATCTCCAGAGAAGGGGACTCCCCACCCTCCCTGGGCAGCCTGTTCCAGGGCTCTGCCACCCTCACCGTGAAGAAGTTTCTCCTCATATTTGAGTGGAACCTCTTCTGTTCCAACTTGTGCCCGTTGCCCCTCGTCCTCTCACTGGGAACCCCTGAAAAGAGTCCGGCTCCCTCCTCCTTCAACCTCCCTTGAGATACTTGTCAGCATTGATAAGGTCTCCCCTCAGCCTTCTCTTCTCCAGACTAAAGAGTCCCAGCTCTCTCAGTCTCTCCTCATCAGGGAGATGCTCCAATCCTTGAATTATCTTTGTTGCCCTTCGCTGGACTCTTTCTAGTAGATCCCTGTCCCTCTTGAACTGGGGAGGGCTGAGTTCACTCAGCCTCGCTAAAATCCCTGTGGGGAGGAAGGTTTTGGAGGCAGCAGCCGTGTGTGATGTGTTGGGAGATGCTTGGAGGCAGGACTGTCCCCGCACTGGCTCCTGACACCAACTTGTGTCCCCTCCTAGGCACTGGCAGGACTCGGGCTACATGATCATCTACGTGACGGGCCGCCCTGACATGCAGAAGCACCGGGTGGTGGCCTGGCTCTCCCAGCACAACTTCCCCCACGGCGCTGTCTCCTTCTGCGACGGGCTCACCCACGACCCCCTGCGCCAAAAAGCCGCCTTCCTCCAGAGCCTGCGTACAGAGGTGAGGATGGGGACACCATCGGGGTGGGGACACGGTGCTGGTGGTGGTGGAAGGGTGTCCCTCTGTCCCAGGGGTCAGTGGAGCTGCAGGAAGAGATATTCGGAGCTGGATAACACTGCGAGGGCAGTGCTGGCACTGAGCCCCTGTCCCAGGACTCGGTGGGAGAAGGTCCAGAGGAGGCTACAAAGGCTGGAGCCCCTCTGGTGGGAGGGAGGGCTGAAAGAGTTGGGGGGGTTCAGCCTGGAGAAGAGAAGGCTCCGGGGAGACCTTCCAGCCCCTTCCAGTCCCTCAAGGGGCTCCAGGAGAGATGGGGAGGGACTCTGGATGAGGGAGGGGAGCCCTAGGAGGAGGGGGAAGGGTTTGACACTGAAAGAGGGGAGATGGAGCTGAGCTGTGGGGAAGAACTTGTTTGGGGTGAGGGTGGTGAGAGCCTGGCCCAGGTTGCCCAGAGAAGCTGTGGCTGCCCCATCCCTGGAAGGGTTCAAGGGCAGGTTGGAGGGGGCTTGGAGCAACCTGGTCTGGTGGGAGGTGTCCCTGCCCAGGGCAGGGGTTTGGAATGGGATGCTTTTTAAGGTCCCTTCCAACCTAAACCATTCTATGATTCCATGACCCTGCTCAGGGCTCAGAGGGGCAGTTCCCAGCCCATGGATGTTGCAACCATCCCTCATTAAACCGAGGCTGTCCCAGTCCCCTGGGGGTGGCTGTCCCTGTGGGAAGGGCCGTTCCCTGCCCTAATGCTCCTCTCCGTGGACAGGCGGAGATCACCATCGTCGCTGGCTACGGCTCCACCAAGGATGTCTCTGTCTACAGCTCGCTGGGGCTCGCACCAGCGCACATCTACATCGTGGGCCGGGCCGTCAAGAAGTTCTACAACCAGTGCCAGGTACGGTGGTGGGGCTGGGATCGGGCTACAGGGGACAACTGCTGACCCCACCAGGGTGGCAGGAGCACGCTGTGGCTGGGATTGCCCCCTCACTTTGTCCGTGTGTCCCACAGTTCCTCTCTGAGGGCTACGTAGCCCACTTGGCTCAGCTGGAGGCAGCAGCCCTGGCCCACTCCCCCAAGGGACCCCCGCGACCCGTGCTGGGCAAAGGCACCTACGGCTGCCCGGCGCCCGTCGACTTCCTCCGCAAACAGAGCCAGCTCCTGCGGTCGCGGGGCTCCAGCCAGGCAGAGCGGGAGGGGGGGTCCTCATCAGCACCCCCAGGGCTGTCCCGGGCCAAGCCCCGCAGCGTCAGCCTCAAGCTGGAGGGTGAGGAGTGAGGGTGGCACGGCCACCGTCCCCCCTTTCCACTGCAGCCTCCCATTTCCCAGCCGGGAGCACCTGGGGCCGGAGCCTGCGATGGGCCCCGAGCTGATAGGAAGGAGACGAGGGTGTTGGGTCCCCCCTGTGACTGTGGGGACCCCCGGAGTCAGCGCTTCAAGCCACCCTGGGGTGCTGGAGCCATCCCCTCGGGACTGAGCCACCCCATGTCCCCCCTCCTGCCCCCTAGCTCTGCCTCCACCCTCTGCCCCATCCCCTCTGGTCCTTTGGGGCTGCAGAGCTGCTGTTGGGCAGTGCCCGAGGTGGGATTTTCCCCCCGGGGATCCAGTGTGCTACCCCCTGGGGTCATCTCGGGGGGCCGTGGCCATGCCCTAGGGCAAGTGCCACCTCCCTGCTCCCCACCTATTTATTTCCGTGCGGTGTTGCCAGCTGTGGGGCAGGGGAAGGGCCAGGATTCACAACCGGTTCCGTTGTTCTCTTCGTTTCGTTGTGAAATAAAGCGATGTAAAGATGAGGCGCTGGGGCCCCCGTGTCTTCTCTGTACCCACCAGCTGAACCCCGGGCCTGGGGACGTGGTGTCACACAGGGAGGTGGCTTTGGGGTGTCTCTGTGTGTGTGTGTTAGAGCTGCTTCTCCACTGTCAGGCCAGGACGCAGCCTGCGGGAGAGTCTCTACCCCTTAGAATCACAGAATGGTTTGGGTTGGAAGGGACCTCAAAGATCATCGAGTTCCAACCCCCCTGCCATGGGCAGGGACACCTCCCACTAGAGCAGGTTGCTCAAGGCCACAAGCAGGTTGTGTGTGTTAGAGCTGCTTCTCCACCATCAGGCCAGGACGCAGCCTGTGAGAGAGTCTCTACCCCTTAGAATCATGGAATGGTTTGGGTTGGAAGGGACCTCAAAGATCATCGAGTTCCAACCCCCCTGCCATGGGCAGGGACACCTCCCACTAGAGCAGGTTGCTCAAGGCCACAAGCAGGTTGCTCAAGGCCACAAACAGTCATTTAGCAGCTGTAAAACTAATAGGGCTTGGTTTTGCAGTGAGTTTGCAAGGCCTCAGGGCCAGGGCTTGCCAAGCTCCCTGTTTGTTTTGTTTTTTTTAATAAAAACCCAACTTTGTTTTACCTCCTTTACCACTAACAGCCATTTTTCTAAGTGACCAGGTGCCCGTGGCTGGTTTTACTTTTCTTTATCTTGGCATAACACGACCAGAGTTTTATATAGATAGCAATAACGAGCAAGTTAGTCTCTAGAAAATATTTACGGCGCTGACATGGTGACGCAGTCAGAGAGGAAACACCGGCTGGGGACGATAGCAGCAGCTTTGGGAAGCGATGAGGCGGGACGTGGCGCGGAGAACAGGCATGAAGGGCTAGGATATGGGGGCCGTGGCCACAAACAGCTCGGCCAGCCCCAGGGGGGGTGGCTCAGCCCAAGGTGAAGTATTAAAAACATCAAAGAAAAGAAAAGAACTTGGCAGAAAGCAGCGGGCTTGAGCTCAGCGTCACCCCACGTGTCCCTTCCCGGCGTGACAATGAGCGTAGCCTGAGCCCAGCGAGGAGCTTCACCTTTTTTTTTTGGCTGCCATGGCTCTACCCTACTTAATACTGAGACTTAAGTGCACTGCCGTGTCACCGGGCCGTGGTGAGCTCCCGGGGCCACCTCAAATGACTTCAAATAAGTAAAATTTGTATTAAACATTAATAAACATCCATGAACATTCCACATGTGGAATATCTAAAAGAACCTGTCCTCCAGAGAGCGTGGGGGCTCTCCGCTGCGGCCGCCGCGGGCTCTACTGGGAGAAGATGCCCTTGAAGCGGATCTTGTCCTCGGCGTCCTTCTCCCGCAGGCGGGTTTCCAGGCTCCGCAGCTCCCTGGAGACGACGGGACGCAGCGAGGGGTCGAGGGCCAACACTTTGGCGAAGTCAGCCTGCGCCTCCGCCACGTTCCACACCGCCGCGTGGGCCTTCCCCCGCTTGAAATAAGCCTTGACGTTGTCTGCAGGGAGAGAGAACTCCTGGGGTTGGTGGAATGAGGCTGGGGACACACACACACACCCTCCCTGGTACCCCTCCGGCCGGGCTCCCTGCGTGGCTCCTTACCCTCGTACTTGTTGAGGATGGAGGAGCAGTGATCCAGCACCTCGTAGTACTCCTCGCACTGCAGCTTGCACTGGCAGTAATTCAGCAGCAGGGGTGTGATCTTCTGGTCCAGCTCGATCCAGTCTGGAGAGCCCGGCTGCTCCTGCAGAGGACAATGAAGGGAAGCTCCCAAGCCCTGCAGACTGACAGGGATGTGGGGAGACCCCTGTGCGCCCCAGAGAGAGCCCCACCTTCATCTGCAGGTTCTTGAGACAGGCGATGGCGTCGTAGTACTTGGCAGCTGCCTCCTGCACCTTGCCCTGCCGGTACAGCTCGTTGCCTTCCTTGTGGATCAGTGGGACAGCCTGCAGCTTCTCCTCATCCGTCATGGCCCACGGGTCCTGCTGGTAGGAGCCGGGTGCCTCCACCTGCCCGGCATCCCCAGTCATGAGAGCAGAGCCCCAGCCCCACGCCAGGGTGGGTGCTGGTGGCCCTCCCTGAGCTCCTCCTGCCCTATGGCTAGGAGGGGGAGAGGCCCAGCTGCCTCTCCCCGGGCCGGAGCCTCACCTTGAGCACTTCGATGTCGAAGATGAGGGGCTGGGGGTTCTTCTGGAGCTCGTCGAGGTCGGGGTAGCCCAGGGAGTAGTGGTCGTGCAGCTGGGCGATGCTGCAGCAGTGCCGCTGCCCCTCCAGCGGGTCCTTCCCTGCCGCGATGTTCCGCAGGCTCTTGGACACCAGCGGGTAGAGCACCACGTGCTGCGGGGCGGGAGGAGGCGGCACGGGGTTGGGGACAAACCAGACTGGGAGGGGGACAGGGACTGGGACCTCCGCCCCCCTCCATTTATTGTCCCCTCCCGGACCCGGACTCGAACCCGGGCACCCAGGTGCAACGAGGGGCCTGCACACCCAAGCCCCCTCGGGCCACGCCCCCACGCCCAAACCACGCCCCCTTACGGTAAGAACACGCCTCCCTGAGGGCACACGCCACGCCCCTGAGAGGCAAAACCACGCCCCCTTGAGCCCATACATGGTGTTTCCGAGTAGAAAACCACGCCCCTAAACCGCAAACCACGCCCTCCCCCGCGCGGCACAAGCCTCGCTGCCTCCGCACACCACGCCCCTCAAGAGCAAACCACGCCCCCAAGCAACAAACCACGCCCCCTCGAGCCCATACATGGTGCCCCCAGCGTCAAGCCACGCCCTCCAACAATAAAAACCACGCCCCCCCTCGGGTGGCTCCGGCCCTCCCCCGTCCCCGCCCCCGCCCACCTTGGTGTCGCAGCGGAAGCGGGCGCGCTCCCCGGGCCTCATGGTTCTCAGCGCCGCCTCCCACACCGGCAGCTTGAACTTCTTGCCGGCGATCAGCTCCATGGGCTTCCCCCTCTCCCGGCTGTCGTCCAGCGG